GGATCTTGGCCCTATACCTTACATGAGACTAATTTCTAGAAGTAATGATCTACATGTAAAAAAAAATATATAAAAATACTATAGGTAAAAGTAGTCATAAAAAGGACAATAGCAGTCCAATCATAATTATGAATACTGATGCTAAATTTCTGAATAAAATGCAGAAAAGAGTTCAACTCTACATTAAAATAATAATATATGACAAACAAGTGTAACCAGAAGTGCAAGAATGATCCAATATTAAAAAATCTTTTTAATGCATTTCACTGTGTTAGTAGGTCAAAGAAAAAAATATCATCTTAATAGATGCCAAAAATTCATTTGATTAAATTGAATATCTATTCTTGATTTCTTTTAAAGGAAGAGTTGGACTTCCTTGAGATGATCTCATTTCCAAATGATGAAATATCTGAAGTATTTAAAGTAAGACCAGGAAAAAGACTATCCAGGGAGTACTCAGGGAATCATATGCAGTAGTTAATACTAACATAATGTATCCTAACAGTACTTAAATTAACATTGGATCCTTTATTATGCTGATGAAGAAACCTGAAAATGTGTTACAATTTGTCAACTGTTTTGCAAACTGATGAAGCTAAGAAATCTTGGAAGAGCAACATGATATAATGCAGAACACATGAGTTGGACCAAACCCAGAAACCAGAATCAGAATACTAATTCTCCCATTTTTGTTATTTGACCGTTGCAAGTTCTCTGAACTCAGATTCTCAGTGTCCCTTATCTATAAAATGGAAGTAATAGGCAAGATGGAGTAAACTTGCTACTGGCTATCTCTCCTGGTGATTATTAGACAAACTCCGGACAAAAAAAAAAAAAGGTCAACACATAAGGACTCTAAAAAGTAAACAAAGCAGATGAGTTGGGCAGGGTAGTTAAAACCTGAGAAGTAACCCAGACAAGGATGGATTCCACATTTCCCCCCCTCTTTTCTTTCAGGGCTTTAAACTGAGGGTGGGTCTGTCACATGGTAGTGGCCTGGAAGGTTACCATATCTCAGGCCCCTGGGAAAGGGAGCCGTTGGGGTTCAAAGAATGTGGAGAGAATCCCCACTTTCATTTATCTTTGATTACTTCTGCCTTTCCCATGGGTGACCTCAGTAGAGAACGGCACAAAGCAACGTAGTGGCCAAACTCCAAGAGAAACATCATTCTTCTTGCTAGCGGACTTGCAAAGGGCAGCCTTAGTGGGAAACATAGTGTGTGGGGAATCCTGCAGGATAGGGAACTGGAGAAAGGGGTCCCAGTACTTCTGTGAAGCTGTGTAAGTCCCAGGCTCATCTCTGAGCTGCACATGCATAGGACAGACTCAAAGCAGCTTAGCAAAGGCTTTCAAAACTGAACTGAAATAAAAACCACCACCCACAGAAGAGATAGAACTTGTGGTCTGAACCTAGTTCAAGTAGAGAAGAAAGATTAATATTCTCCAGAGGATTTGAAGATGTCTGAACAACCTAGTATTAAAAACTTCTAGGATATATTCTAAAATTACTCGATGTACCAACACCTAGAAAATGTGACCAATTCTCATGAGAGAAGGTAATTAAGATGCCAATCCTGAGCTTATGGAATTGCCAGGCAAAGAATTTAAAGCATATAAATATGCTCTATGAATTTATTTTATAGTATTTATATATTACACTTCTACTATATTTCTACTAGTATTATCTATTATATTTCTATATACTCTACTATAATTACATTACATATAGTTAATCCAATATATTCATCTCATATGTAATCTCATTATATATTTAATTATATTATATAAAATATATTTAATTTTATGTTATATCTTATTATATACTGTATATTTACATATATATTTAAATATTTATATATTTATCTTATAACTATGCTCCATGAGGTAAAGGTAAATACACTTGAAATAAATGGAAAGACAGATGACCTCAGCAGAGGAATAAAAATTTTAAAAAGAACAAAATAGATATTTTAGGACTGAAAATCAGAGGATCTGCAATAAAAAATTCAATGGATGAGCTCAGTGGCAGGATGGGGTTGGCAGAGGAAGGAGTCAGTGAACATGAAGATAGATCAATAGAGATGATCTAATCTGAAAAACAGAAAGAGGAAAGATTGGAAAATAATTGAGCAGACCTTCAGGCACATATGGAATCATACCAAAAGGTCTAAATCTGTGTCATTGGAATCCCAGAAAGAGAGGAGAAAATGACTAGTGCCGAAAAAATAGTTTAGAAATATGGCTGCAAATGCCTCAAATTTGGTGAAAGACAAATTTATGGATTCAAGAAGCTCAGCAAAGCCAAAATAGGATAAACTCAAAGAAAACCATGCCTAGATAGGTCCTAGCCAACCTGCTGAGAGCTAAAGATAAAGAAAAAAATCTTGAAAGCCAGTTAGCGAAAAATGGCATATTCCATATAACACAATGAGACCCCATTGGAAATTAAAATTATAATGGTTATATGGGGATACATGAGAAATGATACATAAGGTACTTAGCAGATAAAAGACACAGATGGTAAGTATTATTATTCTGATTGTAATTCCTTTACTACATCTCAACACACCATATTTATTTTCTGTTCTATTTCTTCAAGCTTCCCATGGTTTTCTTTATGTGGATTTGGTCCCAAGAGCTGGATGCAAATATTCCTTTGATAGTATTTCTTTTGGTTTACCCACAATCTTTTGCTCTTGTTGAAACGAGTCTCTGTGAATTCATGTCCTGTTTTTGAACACCTTTTTTTAACTTACACTGTGTCCTCACTTATTACATCCATATAATAATGCATGTTTTACTCTCTTATAGGGATATTGTGAAGATCAAATGAGATATGGAGAAAAACATAAAAATTCCTGTGACCAACTAAAACACTGGAAGTCATATCTTTCAGAAATAGTACCAGCTTGGAAGTTCTGAAAGCCTAATTCTTTTAGCCAATATCATGAGAAAGTATTTCGGAGATGGAAGGCTCGTCCACATTTCTCCCGGGCTGAGAAGGTTGGGGAAGTGTCAGTAAATTATTCATGCTTTGCCAGCTGACCCAGAGGTAAGGCCAAGCAGTCACCATGTGAAACCCATACAGCCTTTAGCAAGGCATTTTTGGCTGTTTGATGCATATTTAGCCCTTAAATATTGAATACTGCTTCCCGCAAAGTGGAGATTCTAATCTCTGTCTTCTCCTTGGTACGGGAAACCAGGAGTAGTGAAGTTAAGGCATAAAACAATATATTCAAAGTCTGATTCAGATGACTAATTTGAATTAGCATAACCAAAATGAGTCTGAAAGCCTTGGCATTTTAACAGTGTTTATAAATCCGTGACCCCCTCTGCCCTCCCCATTTCCCAGAGGCCGTGAGCAGTAGCACACAAAATACCCACAAGGGATGTGAGATCTAGGTCTCTGGGCCAAACTCAAGCACGCAACGAATGGAGTCAGCAAGAAGCAGCACTGGGCAGCCTGGGTTGTAGGAGGATGTGAAGAATGGAAGAGAAGGTTTTCTCGGAAGAAAAGGCATCTCTGCATAAAGGATGTCATCATGTAAAGACAGAGAGAGGAGGAATCTTCCATATAGCCCATAAGCCAGAGACACTGTCTCAGAGCTTCTTAAAATCCTTGGCCAATATTGAAGGAAAGTCTCATAACTTTCCCGGGCTTTATGATTCTCTGTGTAATAACAGAAGGCAGCAAGGTACAATGGCAAGAATGTGGAGCCTGCATCTAGTGTGGGTTCTGCTTGGCATCCTTAGGAACATGATATGGCCTCAGTTTCTACTTCTGTTAATAGGAAATGAGAAACCCCTGTTTTTAAAATGGGGTTTCTGTGCATCGCAAATGGCATGTGTGAATAAAAGATACTGCTAAAGGAGAAACAGGACTTGGAAACTTCTATATGGTACAGAGTATTCTTTTTGTTACACACAGGAAACAAAAACGTGGAGAAAAATGGGGACTAGCTCAGATTTGCTGTGTTGGTGCAAAATCCAGGAAACCTTACTCCATCTTGTTGGTCCTCCTCTGCTCTCTAGAAGAAGAAAGTCTCCCTGTCCTCCCTGTGCTTGCCCCTCCTCCTTTCCTTTTCCTTATGTGTCCATACGCAAGTCTGCCAACAGTCCCACATGTGTCCCCACCCCTGGCCCCCACCTACCATAGCATTTTGTAAAAAGTGGACAGAGTCCTTAACTCAGGAAAACTGTTACCTCCACTCCCAATACACCATCCTAACTATGAACAAATGGCATGTCTCGATTTTTGCTAGCTTTCATGGGTAAGTGGTAAAATCCAAAATAATATTTTTGTTCAGCTAGGTCTAAGTCATCCTTTTATGTCAACAACACTTTTCCACACCTGATTCAAATTTCCTTTTATTCCGTGGTCCCGTACACCCTCCCTTTCTAGTCCCTGCCCTAGTAATTATGTATGATAATATTTCAAGTTCTTACTTCTCTCACAGTATGCTTATTATATCTCTGAAATCTTAATCCACAAAATAAATCTAATTTAAATAAAAGAAAATAGAATCCCCCCAAAATTTGGCTTGCCCCCATTTTGCTCCAAGTTAGCAGACCGAGTTGCCAATCAAATATAAGTTTTACCTTAATGTGATTTAGTCATTTACAGAATTTCACCAACATCAGGGAATTCCATCAGTCATCACAGAGTAAACTAGCAGATGGGTCAATGTGCAAAGTTCAAGGCTTAAGTGAAAAGAGAACTATAAGATTAAAATGACTGACAGGGCCAGGACTAGGGTACAAATATCCAAACTACTCAAGAAAAGGTGGGCTTTTTTTTTCTTTTTTAAAGATTTTATTTATTTGCCAGAGAGAGAGAGAGCACAAGCAGAGGGAGTGGCAGGCAGAGGGAGAGGGAGAAGTAGGCTCCCCGCTGAGCAGGGAGCCTGATGTGGGACTCAATCCCAGGACCCTGGGACCATGACCGGAGCCGAAGGCAGACGCTCAACTGACTGAGGCACAGGGAAGGCGAGCATCCTTACCTGTCTTCTGTTAGCTTCATTAGGGTTGTGCCTCGAGTAGAGAAGACAATAAAGGACATTCTGAGCTGTGGGCTGGAAAGGAAAAGAAATTCCATTAGGGCAGATAAAAAGACTGTGGAATGCCATTTTCTTCTGGTCGTCCTCTCTGTTCTCCTTTTTGTATCACGGCTGTGGAAGCTGAGGCCCTTCAAATCAAAGAGGGCCTCCACAGCTGGTGCTGCAAGTCTTTAGCCAGCAGCAGACTCAAAGCTGTGGACCAAAGGCAAGACCTGCATTGTCTTCCTGGAGGCTGCCTCTGATTTGACCCCACTGCTCAGTAAGGGTAGATTACAAGTACAAAAGCTAAAATTCATCACTGCCCTGTGCTCTGTCTGAAGAGACATGTCCCCAGAAGAGGACTGGTCTGCATAGTGTTTATAGAAGGGGGACCCCAATAGATAAGATTGGATGGCGTCCCCATGGCAGTTGGGTGGATGCTAACGTGGAGAGTGGTTGAGCTTGTTGCAGTTGGATGCCATCAGCCATTAAGATCATACTATGAATTCCCTTTGCTCTGAAAGCAGGATCACCACACTTTTAATTTCACCTTGGTTTCCCAAGGAGGTTATCCTATAAGGAAAGAATGTGCTGATGGGCCACAAGAATATCCACTCCGCTTGGTAGTTACACTTCTCAATATTCATGAACACAGTGGCATGGTTTGTAGATGGCAGTGCTTGGGAGCTTTGTCCATGGAAAATCCACACTCTGGGAGACAGAACTACTCTCAGCTGAGGACCAAACATATTTCTCTGTCTTCAAGATGGACCGGCAGAAATAACAAAAACAAGACAAACATTAAAAACAAAACAAAACAAAAGATGGACTATCAGAGTGTAGTGGATTCACCAGTAGACTGCTGGGCTCTCTTTGGGTGGCCAACTGCTTCATCTGTCACGGCATGAACCTGTTTCTTCACAATGCAATACCTTCCCCTCCCTGATCTGGCCGCCATGTTTTAGAGTTCCCACTTCCTCCAACATTTCTCAAACGCCCCCTTTTCCATTTCTTCACTTAGGACCTTGCCCTCAACTATCTGACCACTGCAATCGTTTCCTAGCTGGTGACCTTGCTGGGCAACATCCTTTGTTCTAATTCATTCTTCACACTGCTTCCGGAACTATTTTCCCAAAATATAAATTAGACCCGTCACTCATCTGCTATAAAATCTCCAATGGTTCCTGCTGCCGCCAGGATGAAGTCTACATTCATTACCATGTGTCCGATGAATCTTTGGAAACGCTTACCATGGTGTTTAATACTTGGTAAGAGCCCAAGCAGTACATAGAGAATTCAATGTTGGTATCTTGAAACAGACCTGGGCTCTCTGTCCATGACACCATTCTGCCTGTTACCACCTCACTGCTGCTAATCAGCAAAACACCATGTCCTAAATGATAATAATGACCATCATAATTATCATAATAACATAATAACGGTCAATCTTATCAAGTGCTTACAGTGTGCCAGACACTATTGTAAGTGATTTGCATGTATTATCTCATTAAACTTGTAACAACTTTATGAGATCAGTACTATTATTATTCCTATTTTCCACGAAAGGAAATTGAGACCCTGAAGGATAAAGTAATTTCCCCAAGGTCACAGAGTGGGAGAGTAGTGGATCTGGGGCTTAAAATGAAGCTTCTGGTTCTGGAACTTAGGTTCTTAAGCACCATATATTATCCTGCTTCTTTTGTTTAGAGTTCAGCTCTGGAAAAAATGAATTTGAAATGTGAGAAATGTAGGGTTCCAAGAGGCAATTGGTATATTTGGTATATGAGTCTTGGCAAGAGACCTAATTTGGAAGTTTTCAGCATACTGATGTGAGTAGAATTGTTCCAAGACAGAGTCAGCAGTGAGAAGGGAAGTGAGCCACTGCTAGAACCAACACCAACATTTAAAGACCTGGCTCTGGTCAGTGGGATGAAAGGAGAAACCAGAAGCCAGTGGAGGAGAGAATTTCAAGGAGAGAAAATTCTCAATCCAATGAAGCTCCTGTATCCAGCAGAATAAGCACTGCAAGACTGTCTTTGTCCTCCTAGGGCATCACTTAGGAGCTTTGGTGAGAGCCAGCAGGTGGGAGGTGGGATGGAAACCAGATGGAAGCAGGTCAAGAAATGAATGATAAAAGTACGGATATGGAGACACTGAATCTTTAAAGATATTTGAGTGAGCAAGAGATACCAGTAAGAAATAGGTATCTATAGTATCTATAGAGGGACATAATTAGGAGATTCATTATTTTCTGTTTGGGGTTTTTTTTTTTTTTTTCAGACATGGGGCAGGAGAGATTTGTTTATGTCTATTGATGTGGAAATGGAGCCAGAGGAAAGGTGGAGAAAAATCCAAGAGAGAAATTGACCTGGAGGATATTGGAGACAATGGGATAAATGGACTAAAATGGAGGGGTCACCTTCAAAGGGGGGATATTTGAATCTCAGAGACAATGGGAAGGGCAAGCATGCATCTTTTAAGAATAGATCTGGAACATGAGGACATCACTTTTCTGCTATTTCCAGGGTTTTTGGTGAAATAGGAGGTGAAGTTCTTTGCTGAAAGTGATGGGTAAGAGGTGTGGGTTGGGGTCTTGAAGGAAATCATGAAGAGTCAGCATCATTATTAGGAAAATGGGAGGGGGTCAGAATAAAGACAAATAAAAGAACTTGAAATTTCCAGGATCCCATTAAAATTGGAAATGGTAATATTTGTACTGGCATTGGCCACTGTTATTCAATGAATACCCCCCTGCAGTATCAGCTGCCTAGACTATTTATTAAAGTGAATAAATAAAAATCATTCATTCCTTTTCAAAATCTGTCCATTTATTAAAAACTATTGAGTGAGCATGCGCCATGTGTCAGGTGCTACCACAGGTACTTGGGCTGCAGCAGTCAAAATACAGTTTGCATGACCGTGATATCTTGGTGACACACTTTGAGGGGGGGTCCATAGCCAACAAGGGCCAGAGGAGACAACCAGAGGCAAGTGCCTCGTGGTCTCCATTAAGCCATGTCAACTTTTCTACTTCTCAGTTTCCTTATCAATAAAATGAAAGTATTGGGTTAAGTACCCCGACCCCCTACTTCTCAGTGTCTTTGCTACTCAGATAGTGAGGCATCTGGAATTGCTGAATGAACTGGGAAAGAGAAGTGCTGAGTGGCCACTCTAAGCCAGGTGCTGGGCTAGTTGGTTTACACATGTTTTATCTTCTAATTTTCACATGCAAACCAGGGTTCAACCAAGGTAAGTCAGTTGCTAGAGTTGCACAATGGAGCTTGGATTCAAATCCACATCTGCCTAACTTCAAAGCCTTTTCCAGTAGAGTCCTCAGAGAGAACAGAAGACCGGAAGAGCAAATAGAGACACAACAGATACCGTCAAGTGTCTAGAGGCAGATTTGTTTTATAGCACTCCAAAGGATAAAATGGATATAATGGATGAGAGTATAGGAAAGGACATGTTGGCTCAATGACAAAGAGGCTTTTCTGGAAACTGGAATTGTCCAACTATTGGACTGTTTGCCTCCAAAGACAGCAGTTTCTCAGCAGAGCTATTTAAGTTGAGGGTAGTGAATACCTCTTAGGATAGCTTGGGAAGTTGTTGCTTTCAATTCTAAGCTTCTACAAATCCCTCAGATATTTTGCTTTTAATACTACCCATGTATTTCCTTCTTATCTCCCCTTCTCTCCTCTCCTCTCAGCATCTGCTTTTCCCATTCATCTGGGTTTAGATGCTTCCTGCTTGCAGCTTCCAATTTTTGGCATCGCAGAGAGGACACCTCTTAACCCTTTCCCTCCAATCAGGCAGGCAGGAAAGAGACCAGTAACTGAATTTGGAGGGAATGTGTTTGTCATTACTTTGGTCTCAGGGGACAACCTGTCTTCTGAGATAAAGAAAACATTATTCAAAGAAGAAGTTTATGGTTACTCACATGGGCTGCAAGACTCTACAGATGCCATGACACAGGAGAGGAGCTGCCTTAGAATTCACAATGATCAGGACAATTTCACCAAAGACCTTGACAACTGGCTTCAAGCACATCCACGAAAGCAATCACAGCTGTCATCCCTTGGAGGCTGTATCCAAAGAGGGTGAAATGGCCTTCTTTCCTTTGCCAGTGGGCATCTATACTTACTGGAAAGTAGGACCTCCAAGGCTCTGCAATATTTATAGTGATGATGTTCAAAACTGCATTGTCCTCCCTTGGAAAGTGGTGTAAAGAATGCTCAGAGAATTCTATCTGATAAGACACATAGCTCAGCTGACCAACATGGTGGTTTGCTCAGGACTGAGGAGAGCTCTCAGAATGTGAGAATTTTCAGTGCTGTAGCCAGGAAAGTTCTGGGCAGACTGGGATGAGTTGGTCACCTTACACTCTACACAGTTTACACATGAGTCCAACTAAAATAAGCCAACTGGCCCAGAGTGGTCCACTGTGAAAAAAATGTTAATGATCCTTCTAGAAGAATATATAATCCAATAAGAGAGACAGAGGTAAAATTTTGGTCTTATAACCAAATCAGGCTTGTCCTAAAAACACAGAACTGAAAGTTATTCTAACATGTAGCAAAGATGAAAACAAAGTCAAGTCTCTGGTCCAAGATCTGAGAGTCTACCTTTGTCAAAAAGCATGCCCAAGAAAGCTAGTAATTAGGAGAATAACAAACATAGGCTAGTTTTACTTATGGCAGAGCACTACACATTCTTTCTCACCTGATGAATTTATGAGCCAACTGTTCCACAAAGTAATAGATTTCATTCCAGTGGTGCAGCACACTTCCTGATCTAGGAAAAGAAAAGCAGATGTTACTTAATCAGGTGTTCATTTTTCTTTACCTTGTATCATTTTTCTTTATGTTCTATTATTTCACATTCAATTTATCCATTAACTGGGCTCATTATCAGAAACTTCTATAACTTTGGAAATTATCTGAAAAGGTATTTAGACTCACTCCACCTTCCATTCCCACTCCACACACTAACGCACTAAAAAAAAAAAAAAATCCCTGGGCCCACCCAGATTCGGAGGTCAGTTTCAAATCTTTAAAAAAACCATGATGTTTGTGCTATTTAAATGATTCACTGATTAGGGAAGAAAAACAATTCCAATTTATTTAAATGAAATTAGCATAAACTAGATGCCTGAACACACAAACATAAACAAATCTCCCACCTCAAAAAGAATAAAACTTCATTTGTAAATATAGATGCAAAATTTCTAAATAAAATATTAGCAAAACAAATCCAGCAGGAATCTAAAAGAATAATAATTAATGAATCCGTGGAATTTATTTCAGGAATGTACTGATGGTTCAACATTTAAGAAAATCTAATGTAACTTGTCATAATAATAACTAAAAAAAGAAAAACTTTACAGACTTTCATTATATTAAAAAGGAATCTTTTTCCTAAAAAAGAGGGACACTTTCTCTAGGACGTATGGAATTACAGAATTTTAGATTTGGAAGGGGGCTTCTTTATTTCCCAAGATTGACTTCCGTTTTACTGATACCATTTACTACTGCTTCAATTCAGCTTCTAAGTATTTTCCATAGTGCCCATACTCAAGCTGTTGCAGTGACTTCACAGTAGGTTTTTCTATTCTAACCCCTTCTTCTGTGTAACTATGATGCTGTTTTCCTTTTACTTGAGGGTCCCTGTCAGCTGAGCTCTGCATTTCTGCCTGTCATTCTAATAGTTGTTGAGGTTAAGAGTTTGTTCCTTCTCTGACATTTTGTACAGTTTCCACTGGTTTCAGATTACTTTTATTTTTTATGCACTCATTTACCCTAATTTTAACTTTGAAAGAGTTGTTTGTTGCTATTTTTTTCTTTGTTTCAGATTACTTTATAAATATTTAAAATGAATCTGTGCAATAGATTTTGTGCCTTCCTTTTCATGGTACAATATCCCAAGAATTCACATTCTGTTCGAGTGTATTCCATCTCTATAAGGAGAATTCACTCCTCTCTGCCCCACATCCAGAAATGACATGTCTGCCTGACCTGAACAAAAGTGACACAACATGTCACAGTCACACAGTGAAAACTCCGCATCATAAGGCTATCTCACTTTCCCCAACTTCATCTATAACTTTAATAAATCTAGGAAAAATTCTGAAAGTATGTTTTGCAGAACTCAAAAGCTGACTTTAAAAATGAAATGAAGATTAAAGGTCTAAAAGTAATCAAGGCAATTGTGAAAAAGAATAATAAAGCTGGAAAACTTGTCTTATCAGATAAAATGACCCCATATGCACGATACATAATATAACCGTGGAGCCAATGAGGTAGAATAGAGAACCCAAACCTCAATCTACATGGGGTCTTGCAATTCAGTGAAAAAGGTGATTCAAACTGAGGACAGAGAACTAACCCTTTAATAAATGATGCTGTGGCAATGGATTTCTAATCGAAAAAAGCCAATTAGATCACTGTCTCATACCAAAAGTAACCCTAGATGTATTAAAGCCTAATGGGAAAGACAAAACTTTAAATCCATTGGGCAAATTATAGAAGGAGACTTTTATGTCCTCAGGTTAGTGAAGGTTTCTTCAGCTAGGTACAGAAAGTAGGAGGTTTTTTTTAATGAAAAGGATAATTTTGATTACCTGAAGCATCTACAATTCTGAATGAAAAAAAGATGCCATAAACAGGTTCAAAGACAAGAGTGAAAGAAGATGTCTGTAACAAATAAAAAAGGCAAAAAATTTGTGTCCAGGATATGTAAATAATTGGTACAAGTAAATATTACAAAGGCAAACAATAGAAAAATAGACCAAGGATCAGAACAAGCAATCCCCTAAAGGATAGTAAATCAGCATTTGAAAGACGCCAAACTCTTCTAGTAAAGACAGAAATACATATTTAAACAATCATTTGAGGAAGAACAAGCAATTTCCTGTGGCAGCAGCATAGAGCCCTGCAGAGTAGGGCATGAGGAGATGGGCAGATGGGGAAAGGGATCCAGGCATTCGGGTGAGGAGGGGGGTGGAGATCCTTCCTCTTAAAAACTATAAACCTTTTCCAATAGACCTTTTCTCTTCTGGCCTCTCAGGCTTTATACATATTCCAGCCACTTGGGACACTCCGTGTCTACACTGGCAAACTTCTACTCATTCTTCAAGACTCAACGCAGTCTCTGCCTCTTGCCTTTGACCAACATAGATGGGGCTCACTGCCCCCGCCCCATGCTCTCAGGGCACCGTGTACACCTCTCAGTCACTATCCTCTGATCTTGGGTTGCAATCACTTTTTTTTCATGTTCCCCCTGTGAGGGATTTAAGGATATTTGCCTCTCCAGCATCAACCCATTTATTCGACGGAGGAAAGAAGAGCATGGAAAGAAGAAGTCTCTATTGCTCAAGGAAGCCTCTTGATATTTTGTCAGCTGGACACCATCTCTTCTGCCCTCGTTTGGATAAACACTCTGAGTTTGGTACTCAGACAGCTCCAGCCAATTCCTGTGACCCTACATGAACCTGAGGAGCCTTCCCAGATGGGTCAATGACTCTAGAGCACAGCTCCTTGGTAAATGGGACTACCTAATCATCAACAATAAAACCTAATGGCAGCTGGGAGCCTCCCAAGAGCTCACCAAAATTCCATATACTAGCCCCGAGCTTTTAACCTTTGGAAGTCCTCTTTCATTAGAATCCCAGCCATCCTCCTGGACAGGATTCAGTTGTATACTTCAAATCCCAAAGACTGGTCCTGGCTGCTTTCCTCCAGCCATGGGGTAGATGGTCTGCTCCTGGGGGTCCTAGTGAGGGCCCAATGCTACATAAGTGCCTCACCAAGAGGCACCACATAATTGATGAGCCATAGTCCAATCTAGAATTCTACAACTCCTATCCGCTGGAATCAGGAGATTTCCTTTAACACTGGTCATCTGTGCCCTCTTCTGAAATGCAATGTTGTGTTTTGGTCCACATGACCAGCACAAGTACTATCTGAGGGGTAATGTAAGATGCTTAATGATTAAAGGGACATCCCCATACCTCCTTCATCCCAAGTTTGATTTTCTCATTAGTAGAGAAGTCCTGCAATGTGGGAATTGTCCTGGCAGGGGAGGAGGTAAAGTGTTGGTAAAACAGGGACTTGAACCAGAATTGAGGGGCTATTCTTGGCTATCTGCCTAAGGAGCAGAGGTCTGGAGTAAATCATCGGGTTACCATTTCTTTGTTCTCAAAGATTGGCCTTATTGAACAGCCACAAATCAATTTGCATTCCTTTACTTAAACAGGGTCATTCAATAATAATTCACACTATCACACTGTCATAAAACACTTCATTTTCATTATTCTTCTATCTGACATGTAAAATATACACAATTTGGTGAAATTCATGTGATTTGTTGATGCTAGGTACAGAGAAAGATCTAAGAAATACCCTGGGTGTTAAGAAAAGTCTGGATCTATCTGGTTTTCTTGCTGATGTGCAGGCACTGCATTTTCTCAAGAAAAAAATAAAATGATACCCCTAAGACAAACCTGGAGGTAAGGAGATAATTGACAGGCTTGCTCCTCCTCTCCCAACTCGGCTAGTAATTGCCCTGAGATGGCTGAGGTTTGTGGTTTCACATTTATACATGATCATTCTTTACACAATTATATAAGTTTTGACCAAAATACACCATTTTTAAAAAAGATTTTATTTATTTATTTGTCAGAAAGAGAGAGAGAGCATGCACAAGCAGGGGGAGCAGAGGCAGAGGGAGAGGGAGAAGCAGGCTCCCGGAGCCCGATGCGGGACTTGATCCCAGGACCCTGAGATCAGGACCTGAGCCAAAGACAGACGCTTAACCAACACTGAGCCACCCAGGTGCTCCCAAAATATACTCTTTTGGGGACACACTTGAGATGTACATAGTCTGTTCCCTTAAGCATCGAAGGTAAATATAACCCTCTAAGATTCTGGAAACCAAACTGTTTTTGTCTTCTCTGGATTACCATGGGATCCCAAGGGGCCTAACCTACTAAAGGAGCAGAGGAATATAGGAATCCTTCTAGTCCTTATTGCTGAGCCTCCTTAACCTGCACATGCACACTCTGTCCCACCCCAAGATCAAATTACACCTTGGGAAAGGAAAGAGCCCCGTGTCAGTTGTTTATGGTTTTAGCATGGAGGTGAGCTTGTTGGGGCTACTGCTCATATTTCTTTAACCCACATCTGTAGGAGCAAAAGTCTTACCTGCCGGGTGCCACAGTCCTGCCTCCCTGCCTCAATACCACCCGCCGGCCACAGCTAGACTTCTTCACCCTGAACTCTAAATACGTCATCCATGGGGCCTCAGAAACTATCCACTGTGACCTCACTCAAACATCTGTCCTTCTCCCACAGGGACAGATATGTTGGGTCTTTGACTCAATTTGGACTTTCTATTAAAACATGCATGTCTCGCCTGCACTTTGCATTATAAACTGAACTTCTGGTTTGGAATCTGCCCTAGTAGCTACTCCTAGAATAATCGACCCAGGGTGGTGTGTCCATGTTTGGACCAGTGGCTTCCTCTCAACCCTGAAGACCTAAGTGGATTCCCGGTCACAGCCAGAAAAAGTAGGGTGTTGGATGGGGAAGTGGCAGAGAGTGGATTCAATTCCAGCTTCTCACCACCCTACAATATATAAACCATCTCATTTATCATGCCAACCTGTTTAAGAGTTAATTATCTTAAAATCCCAGTTACGGAGTCCTGATGTCTTCAGGCGGTAATGGCTCACCCAGCCATTGTTACCAAAGCTCCAAGGCAGAAATAAAAACTTCTTAGTCCAGATACATGTAGGA